CTCGCGAAGTGGAGCCAACATTCTATGAAGCTATAATCACGCCCTTATGACATGTTTGCATTACAATGAAATAGATTTTTGTGATGCGCATAACCAGAGGATTGATAAAAAAAAAACTGATCATTCTATCATTCGATAGATTGGTAAATGAATTGTGAATAAAATAAGAATAGATGGTTAAATAAACAAGTAAATGAACAGGTATTAGACATTTACCTGATAAAATACTGTATGCGAGAGGGTGCCATTACTTTTCAGCACATCGACCCTAAAGGTACCTAGTAAGACATAAAATTACATGTACATTTGACTGACATGCAAAAAAGAATAGATTTTCCACCTATTAATATTACTATCATTTTTCTTATTGTAATGCATTTTTCTCAAATTTACCTTCTGTCCTAGCTAACTCATGTATGTCACTGTCGCCCAGTTTTCTACCTTGATCCTGGTCAGTAAAGGGAACACACAGCGAGTCGTTGATGCAGTTATTGCGTACGCTTTGAAGATGATCGTTGTTGTTTGAGCTGATATCCACAACTAAGGTCCATCCACCGCCTGGCGAATGACAAAATAAAGTAAGTTGTTGCTCGTGTAGCCAAATGTCTTTTATAATGTAATTGATGTCTTCAAATTAGCCCTTTCGTTGTCTTTGTTCGGTAAGTATAAACCTCAGCTAAGAAAACTGTAGCAAGTATAAAGAAAGGACGCATCCTCGGTGATAAATTCTCCAAGAAAATTAACAAGAACTTTCACTACTTTAAGCTTAAGAAGTTTGAAGGTAGCCTCGCTGAAAACATTTCTTCTACTAAGAGAAGAGAAAAAAGTTCAATTGAAATACATATACATATCCGAGACAACTAAAACTTAAATATCGGATACGGGAGATTGAAAAGGAACCGAGGCTGGCCGTTCGTTATGAAAGTCATGGTTCAACCTTACTGCATTACCCTTTATTACAACTAAAACAACACTGCCAATGAGAAAAAAGCAGCAAAATAGCGTATACCCATTCTTTCTCATCAGAGGCAGAATTTGATATTTTTCTAAAAAATTTACTTACTGGGTTGGATTTCTAATGGGAACTCAAAATTTTTCCTTTGTTTCACGCTCATAAAAAAACCAACAAGATCTTTCTCTATTTCTTTACCGAGCTCAAAACTTCACCATCTTTCTTATTCTTTTTGAAATTGACTTATTGCTTTCGATATTATCCTTTTGTACCTACCATGTTTTTCCATATCACAGTAGACGTCTTCCTTTCTACTCCCAATATCTATCCAGTAGTAGCCGCTTTCCGCATCAGGCCACTTATTGAGAATCTCCGAGCAAGATTTGAATTCATCAACCTGTAGATCATATGTTATAGATAGTTACTGGCCAGAATGCTTGAGCTACTCATTTTTCATTTTTTTATGCCTGTCCTTTTCTGTTTACTTTATTTCACTATTACAAATTTAGAAACTCTATGGGCCAAGTCGTATTTTAACTTGCAACCATCCGAACACTACGGTTGGTCGATAACACAAATGCTTCTTGTAAATAAATTACGATATTGTCGGCTATTTGGGAGAGTATATATGTACTAGTTGGTCGTCATCACGAAGCAAAGAGGCCTAAACGACAGTGAATTTTTCTCCAAAGTTTGGACCAAAAGCTGAACTACAGGGAGAAATCACACTTTCATTTTCTTTTTATAGAATTCTTCAAGGTCATACCTTGTTCATATAAACTGATCCTTCCTTCGGACCAAAATCCCCTGGGTGAGTATGTTTGTTTGCATCATTCAAATCACATGACTTATCTTTTATACGGAAGTTCAAACTCCTGCAGCGAGACTCGCTCGAACAGATCATCCCACACTCACTAATACTGGAAGTTTTTTGAGTTGAAACAACGTGACCGGAAAGATGGTGACCATACTCTGAATATGTGGACCGACGGCACTGCTCACTGGCTTGGCTTAGCTGTACATGCCATATGACGATGAACAGGAAAACATAACACAGCAGCATGGTTTTCTAATGAAATAATGAAGTAAAAAATATTTGATTGAAATAAACTCAATGCTAAAGGCTTAGATTGTGATTTATCATTTTATTGCCAAAACGCGGGTAACAAGACAATGAAGATTTTAAGGAATACTCGCTGGCTGGTGCAGCAAAAGTCAGCGCACCATTACCGTTGGAAACTTTTCACAATAATATAGATCCTCAGAGTGTACCTACCGTATGTGAAGCACTTTTCAGATCCTTCACAGGAGCTTGCGAGATTCGAGTACAGACGCCGAATAGGACTAAACAACGTTTTATGTAATCCGGCTAAAGAGGTCCTATATAGCAAGATAGAAATACGGAAGTTACTGCTTCGAAAGACAAGCTAAAACTAAAGATATGGCTAGCGGAAAATCTCAATAAACTAGATCCAACAAGACAGGGGGTGGTCGGCCCAACATCTGTCATACAAAAGATGTCATTAAAAATTAACCATTTTATTAACCACGCGATATCGCTCTACTTTAAGTTAACGATTTTTCTCTTAACATCTCGATAAACTAAATCCAAGAAAACAAAGAAGGTCTACATCTAAATAGTGGAGCGCACAACGTCTGTCTTACAGAGGATGAGATTAAAAATTAACAATGTCACAATTCTCTGAATTTGTGTTTTCAACCCTAGCCAGTAAACATGAATTCTAAAACCAAGAAGAAACAAAAGAAAAATTAAACATGAAAGATATATATGAGTAATCTATTTCAGAAACTTCCGTAATTATTTGATGAAACTCATATTTCAAAAAGATAACTGACTGAAAAAGAAATTTACCAATTGGTAAACATTTAAAATAAATACAAATTAATCGAATGAAGCCTTATACTGCTGTAAAAAGTAAAATGTTTCATAAATCCGAGCTTTCGCCGATCAACGGCATCATAAGGGATAGCAAAATATTCCGGGAGCGCTATATATCTTTTACACCCTTTGTTTAGACGGTCCATTATTAGAGCTTTTATTATGTTCCATTCACAGTTTATTTCTGCAGCTTTCACACATAGTCACGTCTTTCACACACTTCACCCCACACCGTCTTTTTACACACATATATATAATATAGCGCTCCCGGAATATTTTCTTATCCCTGATGATGCTGTTGATCGGCGAAAGCTCGGATTTATCAAACATTTTACTTTTTACAGCAGTGTAAGGCTCCATTCGATTAATTTGTATATATTTCAACAATGCAATGATAAGTAGAGTGACTTTAAGGTCGCAGCGGGACAGTGGCTATGGCGTGCTATTGAAGCAACGAAGAGTTTGAAAAGTTTAATTCTAAGAAAAAAACAAGTTGGTAGTTTAACCATTCCAAACTAAGGTGACTAAAACATCAGAAAATAGACAGAAGATAGACAGATAGACATAAAATAGAGAAACAGAACCCAGATTTTCTAAAAGTGTATCGGTTACTGTTTCGGTGTGCTTGCTTGTTTTTATTTTAATTTAATATTTTTAAGGAAATCTAAGCTGGCTACCGCTTAACCTCAGTG